TCTCTGGGCTCCTTGGAAGTTACAAAGCACAGAATTATATTGCTGTATAAGATATGAAGTGAAACCATAACATCAGAGACAGTTGAGGTAGAAGAGGTTGCCAGACAAGAATTTGTGGCATTTAGGGGCTGCAATAGATACATGATGGCAGATTAAGACTATTGCTGCTCCTAACTGTCCTTGAAAATTTGTTAGCAAGACAGTCCTGATCCTGTTCTCCCACCTGCCCATATAAAAACATGTCCCTTTCTTGTAAGTAGTGGTTGGGGTAGGCATAGCTGTATTTCAGTTGAATTTCATCGTGAGCTATTAGTCTCTAGGCATTGACAGTGCCTCAGCTATTAATTTTTACAGCACTTTGCGTTGGATGCTGTAGATTAGCTTAAGCAAATGACATTTGTTCTTTTATAGTTCACATTTCTTTTTTGTCTCCTCTAAGGATAAGTGATGCTAAAGGGTAACAAACTTTCAAACGTAAACCATTCTGAGAAGGCAGCTATAGAAATTGAGCTTGTAATTACTTCAGTTTTTATCCGTTTGAAATGTTTCTTATACTGATTAAAATTCAGAAACAAATGTAATTTGGTGCCTGTTTCCTCTGTGGACTTCTGATGGTAGGGCTTCTAGTCTCTTAACATATGTACTATTTTGGTGTCCAGTTTATATCAATGAGTGAATTGCTTATAAGCTGAAACTCTAAAAGTAATGATCTAAGACATTTTAATTGTCAGGCATTTGGTCTTTGTTGCTTTTTTATTCTTGTTTTGTCTTCAGTGGATAATGTCCACTGTCAAATACCAATATATAACCCCACAGTCATTAACCTGTATTTCTGGAGGCAAGAGAGAGTTCTGGAGGCTGATCTATTGAGTGTCTGGCATCAGCCTGTAAAACTCTTCCTTGCAGCTGGAAACTAGATGTGATGGATTTGACATCAGTGCTAAGGCTTCTGATGTAAAAGAAGCAGTTGGTTCCATGTGTTCCCCTCACACTGAGCAGAGGGTTGGCTGCCACCCATGCTGGACACCAATCCTGTCCTGTATTTTGGATAGCTGTCCCCTGCCAGATGTGCTGCTGAATCTCTGCTGTCTGTAGACTGGTTGAATGCTGTCCTCCACTGAGTCTAAATGGAGCAAATGGGATCTCCTCAGGCTGCTTGTCATTTCCCATCTTGTTTTCTTTGGGTTCTTGTGGAACTTGTGGTTCCCATCAAGTTGCTTTCTGCCTCTTCCATTCTACGTGCGTTCCTTTCCAAGCACAAGCTTACAGATTGGAGCCTTCTAGCTCTTTTTCTAGCATTTGCTAAGGGGACTGAGTGACACTCCTTGGCAAGTCGCATCTGAGCAAAAAGCTGCAGGCTGGTAAAGGCTTGGAGATTGTCCTCTGTGGATCAGATAAAATATTTTAGAGGTATTTAGAAAGATGTTATGCTACTTCAGCTGGGCCTGAAACAAGTTACTACTTGAAGTTTTTTGCAAGTCTTGCAGTTTATTTTCTTCACGGTGTTTCAGACTTGACTGACTTTTAGCACAGTCTGTGAACAGGTTACAAGCTTCCACTGCTTTGCAATGGCATGGTCCATCGTATAAATGCTTGCAGTGAGGAAAATGCATGGTGGTGGCAGTGTGTACTTGTGTGCTCTGTACTGACAAGCAATTTACCTCTGGTCTTTGCTTACTTTTTGATGGAAACATGTTTTATCAAACAATTCTGGATAATAGATAATTGTAGATCATAAAGGTTGAAGTACTGCCTTTTGGTATTTTTTTACATGGTATTAACCCTCTTTAAGAGTGTGATGGAAAACTTTGAAAGAAGCTCTACATCCTCAATGTCTTCAGTTTTCACTCCGCCTACAAAATCCGTTGGCACACCGGTACAACCTGCAAATAATACTACGAGGATTTCTACAATGAGACCTCTTGCAACAGCATATAAAGCTTCTACTAGTGACTATCAGGTATTTTAAGGGAAACAGAAGCATGTGTTTCTTTGTGCTGTCTCCCTTTAGTTCTAGGAGGCTGTAAACACATTGATTTTAATGTGACCTTAGCCTTTATCTTCTCCTGTCATTTCTTTAAAGATGTGGTTCAAGTACAAACTCAGTCTGTTCAGTTGCTAAAATAATAATAAAAAATAATAAATTAATGACTTTTTGCTTTTCCAAAGGTTAAAGGCTTGCTTTGAAAATGTTTCAAACGCATTTTTTTCAAAATACGGTAGCACTTAGGAAAAGAAAAGGAAAAAAAAAAACTAGTTAGTATAAAAAGAATGAACTATGTGTTGACTGATTCTCTTTATTTTCTCTCTTCTTTTCCCTTGCCTTCTAGGTGGTTTCTGACAGACAAACTCCTAGGAAAGATGAAAGTATTGTATCTAAAGCAATGGAATACGTGTTCGGCTGGTAGTACGCAAGAGGAAGTAACGCACTGAGTTGGTCAGGGTTTGAAATATGCTACTGGCGTCCGTGGTTAGTTGTATAACTACTGGTGGCAGTATTTTAACTTGCATCTCACCTGTTATGCCTTCGGTTAATTCAGCAGACATGTAGCTTGCACTTTAAGTGATGGCAATGCACACATTGTTTTAAAAACTGAGTGAGTGTAAACGTAAGTGCTTCTTTCCCATTTGTGCTCTGATTGCATGATTGCAGAAAAAATATCAGCACTGACTTTTTTTCCTCTGTAATTACTTTCTGTGAATTACTTCCCAGTAAGTTGGAAATGTTTAATATGGCAGCTTTATTTGCTGATGCCTTTAATTTCTTTGTGGTTTTTATCTGGAAAGATGGGCAACTTGCAGGAAGAACACTATGCACATCTGGCACCCAAGGCCCGGGACTGTTCTTAGTATATATGTGTTTTTTAATTAGGATTTATTGCTGTTTTATGTTTGTCTCTGGCATCATACTCTAAATGTCATAGTAACCTTTTAACTCTTTGTTTTATTAATAAAGATAAATAAATTTAAGTTTTTCTTAGGTTGTTTTTTTAAACAAGTATGAGTTCTGTTAGGGAACTCGTATTTGCAGTACTCTTAACTGTTAAATATGATGCTGCCGAATGTTTATTGGAGTGTGATCAGCAGAGCAGATGCTGCTGATTTTTACTGAAGTAGTACCAACCAACGTTAAAACTAGCTAGTGTTTAAATGTCGTCTTCGTGGGTGTTTTACAGCAGCATGCTCTTAAGAGGCAACAAACTGTAGCATTTCAAGCTAGAAAATGTTGATTTGAAGTAGCTGAATGGAAAATGCAGTGTGTCAGTGAACAGAGCTGCTTTCATTTCCAGGCTCTTCTAAGAAATTTTCTGGAAGGTATTGGCTGAATTATGATTTATTTTGTTTAATATTCAACGTCCTCCCCCTTAAAGTTTTCTTTTGCAAGGGAGCCTCTCAAGTAATCGTGTGTGTCCCATGAGCTCATGGTGGTTGAGATAAAGGTCTCTTTTGTCTGGGCAGTGAGCAGTTTGTTCTCCAATACTTGGGAGACTACTTGTAAGTGTTACTTTTTTGTGTCTGTGTTAGCGTGGGTCAACATCAGTGTTTTAGTTTGGGTCAAGAGTGTGTTGGTCAGGTGAATATCCAGTCATGCCCATTTCCGTGCTGTGCTTCACACTGTAGTGTAGTCTCAAAGTTCAGCTGCGCTTCTCTGATGAAATTAGATCAAAAGATTAGATTAGATCAAAAGATTAGTCCAGGAGCATGCCTAACATCCCTCAGATGCTAACGGGCATCCAGTTTACAGGGTGAAGCTGGAGATGGTCCTGAGTAAAATCCCTAAAGCACTTAGTGAGAAGTCAAATTTCTACCTCAGGACACTTTGTACTTCATTGTATGCTTTAGAAGTAAGCTATGTGCAGGCAGATGCAGAGGTTTTTGAGACTCTTTTTACTGTGTTTGGTGACTGATGCTTCTGGAGTATTGGTTGCTACTCATCCATTTGCTTTTGAGCTAAGGGAGCTGCCCAAACCTAATTAATATCTGAATGTGTTTTCTCAGCATACGTCTGGCTTTTTCTTAGTGAAAAATATCTGTTGTGCAGATGAGTTCAGTGAGAAAATAGGTTGTTTAGATAGATTTTTGCTTTGCAAAATACACTTGAGATGCACTTCAGACTTGTCATGATGTGTGGAGTATTTGGTTCAGTGAAGGGATGGAGAATAAGATTGACCTTGGGTCGAGTAAGTCTGAAGCTAAACACGTAAGGAAGGAGCTGGAGTCAAAGCAGGCAGTTTGGCTGACCTGTTTTACCAATAAGTACCAGATTTAAAACGGCGCTAAGTTGTTTCATTTTTTCCCAGTTGTTTACATCAGTTTTCTGTTTCTTACAGCTTTATGAATGATCTTACTCATAGGTCATTGCGCTTCCTGTAGAGTAAAAGCATTTGGGAGTAGAGTATGTTGTTTAGTTTTCTCTGGAGGTAGTAAATAGGAGGAGAAGAACATTTAGAACATATAAATGTGTGCATTTCTGGACAGTATCATTAAGAAATTATCTTCCTATGGCTTCTGCTGGCAAAGTCTACTGGTAAGACTTAGTATGTTGTCTTAGTGTCGAGCTCTGGTTAAACTCGGTATCAATGATTTGGGCTTACTAAGTGTGAGAAAGTCACAGTGTGTTCCTGATAGTATTGTTGTGAATTATATGAGCATACTGGGGTCGTGTGTGACAAGGCTGAGAGAAGTACATGTGTGAAGAGTCTTTGAAACGCTTGGAAGGCATTCGGGTAAACCTTTGTTTAGGTAGCATTGTATTTGGAAATCCAGTTCTTCCTGTTTAACTGTGTACTTGCTGCTTTGCAATAAGGAAGGATTCTCTTCTAGCTGTAGCTAAAACTAAAGTTAGAGACTTCAACTAGTGGTGTGTAACATACTAATGAACGTACTTGGTTCTGGTTTCAGTTGCATGGGGTTTCTTGTAAGACTGGACTGCGTTTTTCTTAGGATTATGGCTTTAGTGTAAAATAAAACTCATGAATACTTATTTTCTGTTGTCTGCCTCAATCACAAGCATGTTACTCAGGAATCTAATTTACTTAGTATATAGATCTGCAGTGTTTTAAATTGTAGAAGGGTTTGTTGTATTGTTTCAATGGTTATTTCACTACAACTTTAATAGTTTTTTTTGTAAAGACTTTTATAACTTGGAGATAGTGGGTTTTTTCCTCCTTTTCCCCTCCCACGCCTCCTCAGTTTAACTTTCTAGTAACTTTCAAAGCGAGTGATGTTTGAGTAATCCACATACAGTAACATAAGATGAAGATGAAATGTTAGAGTATATCATGTCTGTCTCTATTCAAGTTGTAGGCATCTGTCTCCCCTGTGTGGCAGCTCTTTAGAACTTTGATGGGAGGTTTAACTGGTGTTGAACGGAATATGCTATCTTAATTATACTTCAGTTAGGAAGTGCATAAACAGTACTGAGCAAATAGCAGTGCTCAAATGTCCCTTAGTTGAAGTGCTTTCGTAATAAAAGAGAGGACAAAGATGAGTTTACTAAATATCTTAATTCAGACTTCTAAATATTGCTTTAATTAAATAGTTCTTAAACTTTACTTAAACTCTTACCGGTATATACTTGTGTCCATTTTGAGATGGATAAACTGACCAAGTGATATTTTAGCAGAATATACCACAATCTGTTTTGTGTGAACATAATTGCCTTTTTTTCTGATAGTCAGAATACATGTGTAAAAACACAAGACTTGAATCAGTTTTCTTTCACTGTAGGTGACTAGACCACAGATGAGTCTGCAAAAACGTCCTGCTTACATCTGTTAGAAATAGTAAGCTGTTCAGTCGTTAGTGAAAACAGAACAAACTGGTTTGCAAACAACTGGAAATCAGGCTCTGGAATAAACCTTCTAGATTCTAGTAAAAACATCAGTCTTCAGGCAACTTGGTGGCTTTTTCTTTAATTGCTCGGAGAAGAGGAAAAGATGTTATGTGGTGTGTCTCTCAGTAAGTACCCAAGTGCAAACAGTACTGACTGCCAAACTTTTGTTAGTGTGTAGAAATTAGAGGTTAGTTGGTGAAGTTACCTTTAAAAAGGAATGCATAATTAATAGCTCTGTGAAATGTTTTTGGTCTTAAGAAATCTTTTGACTGAAGTATGTTTTTATGTAGTGCATATGAACTGCTTCTATCAACAAAGTAATATTTGAAATCAAGAGTATGTCTGAGAAGCTGTAAATTCTTATGTCCTGTATAATATGAAATATCTTGATTCTTCAAGTTTTTCAGTTTTGTAAGTGAACTTTCAGCTTAAGTCACAGAATCATAGAATGGTTTAGGTTAGAAGGGACCTCAAAGACCATCTAGTTCCACCCCCCTGCCATGGGCAGGGACACCTTCCACTACACGAGGTTGCTCAAATAAAGAGTTTATTGCTGATGTAAGCAGATGCAGTCAAAGTGACCCCAAAATTCTGGTCTCTGTAGATGAAGTACTGATTTTTGTTCATTACAGTCCTTTTGTATGTCAAGTTGGAGACTCTTTTGATTAGAAATAACAAGAAAGTAAGGAATTGATTTGAACAGTCACTGTTTTATTTTGTTCAATTGTTTATCACATCGGATTTCGGTATAGTTCACTGTAGAAAGCAGTTTATGAACATATCCTTCATGTAGGGGTGAATTGAATTTTCAGTAAGAAAAATAGAGAACTTTTCAATTACATTTTTTCCTTTCTATTGTGTATGTCAGCCATGTAATTAGCATGTTGTTTAACTGCCTTTGGAGCCCTGTGTGTTCTGAGAGAACCTGTCCCTTGCTGCAGAATTAAGCTCCAAAAAATGCTGGTTCTGTTTTCAAGGATCTTTCCAACCCCCTGGTGTTAAGAAGGTAACCTTGAATACCTGAAGCAAGGATAACCTGACAAATGGATGGCTGTGGAGGTCTTGGAAATGATAGTTCTGTAGTGTGGATTATCCAGTTATTATTAATAATGACTATTTGTTTTGAAACCTGAATATAGTCCAGAATTGGTAATCTGATAAAGTGCTGTAGCTGAATATTTTAGTTGGAGCTCAAACTGAGGGAGTTTTTTTGAGTGCTAGTATGCTAACTGGTGGTTGTTCTTTTGCCAAAACTCCTCCTGGCAAGTAAAGTATAGCTGGCTTGGAAATATCATGGTTGCAACACTGGCCATCATGACACAAAGTCTTTGCAAGGTAACCAACTTCTCTTGCACAACATGCTTTCTCAGCTGGCAAGTACTTTGACTTACTGGGCTTTCTCACCAAGTGCTCTTAGCTCACTTTTTGAAGTTTGCAAGTTTGATTTGTTTACTGTGTAGGATTGCACCAGTGGGTGCTGCTGACTTAACTAGAATTGAGCGGGGACCTGCAGTATTTGCCAAGCATGCCATATGATAGCATGTAGTATCACATTTCAGTAGGTGAAATACAGTTAAAATTGTCCATCATAGGATACTATAATGGACTATTGATTTTTAGGTGCCACGGTTTCTCTTTCTTTGTAATTGAGTTGTGCTTGTGAACATAGGAAAATGTTCATTTGCAGATTGAAGGTCATAAAGTAAAAATTGCAGAGAGATCAACCTTACATACAGGCTAGAGAACAGTCTAATATTAATTACCTTTTCTTCTATTGAGTAGTGTAGGTTTTGTTC